CCAGAAGTCTAAAATCTGCACCCCTCAGCTTACAAGGCTCAATTACTTATATTTATGCACTCACTGGTCACAGCTATATCTTCTCAGCAAACAAGATAACAAGAACTTTGAGAATGTAGGGCATGAATATTAGCTACCGAGAGAAATGCCCTATCAGTGAGCAGTTACAATGCCCCTGAGATTGTATTTGAATAGCATTCAGTCACATTCAGCTGTGTCTCATTATTTTCTTTAGTGATAGGAGGGACTACACAGTGTTCTTGTAAAAGTTATTGTGATCCTTTTCCATGTTGGTTTGTTGATTTCCCCCATCAAGTAATTGTGAATTCCTTGTTGAGAAATTTGTGCCCAGCAATGTGCCCAGAAACGGTATGTTTGTTTGTTCCAGCAGCCTAAAACCTAAATATTTATATGCCTTATTTTATGAAGAGATTATACAGAAAGGATGAGAATATTTATGTGATGCATTTGGATAGATAAATGCAGATATAAAAATTCAGTACAGCAACATCAAATGTACTAGACAATAAACACACTGTCTCCCTCTCTCCTCTCTCCACATATTCCAACATATCTATTTTTCTATATATTCCAACATGTATAATATTTATATATTATTTCCTATCAGGGTCTGTGGAAATTAAGGTATTTAAAAAGAATTTAGGGCCTAGAAATCCTTTATACTGATTATACAAGAAGATATCAATAACATGCTCATCATGATAAAATATTTAAGGAGCCACAATATTCATCACTATATCCTTGGGTCTACCTTAAATTTAAGCTTCAATCCACTATTATTGAAGCATGCTTTGACTGACTTATTGTTTTTGCTTCCTTTATGTTGTTGACAGAACACTGCTAAAGTTGCTATGGAAGAATAAACCCACATTCAGAGCAAATGTGTTTAACATCTAGGACCCATTTGACAAAGAAATATGCTTTGGTTTTCCCAAAAGCCAAATGAGAATCATAAAATCCATTTTAAATCATAAGAACATTTCAAAACAAAGTACTACATCACTCCCTCAGGAATGAAATCTAGAAGCACATGAAAAATCATTCCCTTTTATTAGCACAGAGTTGTCTGTTTAGTATGAATTGAATCACTTGAGACTTTCTACCTCTGAGATAACAAGATCATCAAACTGACATCAGATCCTAGAGTTTAATCCAGCACATCTACTTTAACAGTGCAAATTGGACTTGGTGGATTATTTTTTAAGAAACCATACATAGAGACTATTACAAAGTTCCACAACTGGTCAAAATACAGAGAACAAGTGACTGAGGTGCCCAGCCCTAAGTGATACATCTACAATGGAACCTCTGTGCCTGAGGTTAGGGAGCATCATGGAAGAGGGAACAGAAAGATGGCATCTGCTGTTAGTGCATTCTAGACATGATAGGGCAGCTACACCAATAAAATCTCCATAGTATCTTGGTCTAACAAGATCTGCATAATGACAAAACCAGTTGACATGCCAATTTGGACAAGGAAAATTTCACAGGGTCCCATATCAAGATAAAGATCTACAGGCAATAAAATAGATGCTGAGGGAAGGAGAATCAGTTTTCTCCAGGAACTAGCTTCCTGAGAGGTAATCCCAAGCAGGCAGCCCTAAACACAGGTACACATAAGCACCAGTAAATGGACTCACTGCATTGTGTGTGTGTGTGTGTGTGTGTGTGTGATGTATGTATATGTAACAATAATCAAAGAAGAGGACAAGAAATTGTGAGGTAGTTGGGAGGGACATGGGAGGAGTTGGAGGGGACTGGAAGGGGTAGAAATAATGCAAATACAATACTCATATATGAAAAATCTCAAAAAATTTTAAAAATTAAAAACTAAAAAAAAATAGAGGCAGGAAGTTGGGAGGGGTAGGAAGGTAGGGGTGGATCTGGGAGAAGTTAGAGGGATAAGTGGGGATGAATATGATCAAAATATATTTTATAAACTTCTCAAAGAATTCATAAAATATTATATTAAAAATGTGTTATGGAAAGATTTTGTCTTTCATCCATTGATGAACATTTAGACTGTTTTCTTGTTTTGACTATTATGAATAATTGTACTATGAACATGTGTGTGTGAGTTTTTAAATTTTCTGTATTTATTATATTTATGAGCGTTTTGCATGCATGTATGTAAGTGCACCATGTGTACAGTGCCTGTGGAGGCCAAAAGAAGATGCTGGATCCCCTGGAACTGAAGTTACAAATGTTGTCAGCCACCATGGGAACCAAACCCAGGTCGTTTGCAAGAGCAGCCAATGCTCTTATCCACTGAACCATCTCTCTAGCCGCAGATTTAATCTGTGGAGGAAGCGTCAAGCTGTTTTCCAAAGCACCTACAGCATTTTCCATTCTCAGCAGCAGGCTAGAATATCCAGGTTCTCTACATCCTAAATAGCACTTGGTATGATCTGTCTTTCTTCCTATAGCCCATCTAGTTGGCATGAAGTTGTATCTCACTGTGGTTTTAATTTGAGTATTCTGAGGGGTTAATGATGCTGGACATCTTTCCATGTGCTCATTTGTAAATCTTCTTTGACAAAAAGCCTATTCAGATATCTTGTCCATTTTTAAAAATTGGGTTTATTTGTAGTAGTTCTTCATTTACTGTGGATTCAAGGATCTTATCAGACATGGGACTTGCAAACTTAAACTGAGTGTCCTTTCATCTCTTCTTGGTGCCCTTGGAGTACAAGTATTTTTAATTTTGATGAGATGATATATAGACAATAAACACATTTATGTATTCAATCTCTCTAGAAATTAAAAATAAAAAGAAATAAAAAATTTTGACTTAGTACATTGGCAACAATGAAATAAGAAACCCTTGCTATATTATTAGAAAACATTTGAATACTCTTATAAATTCCTTGTAGAAACTTAAATCAGAAAGCTTTCTTGAAACTAGTTAGCAATTCTCAAAATTGAAAATACCCTAAATCTTATGTATCCTTTGACACAATCACACTGCTTTCAGAAATTTATTCTGAAGTTGAATAATTTTACAAAATTGGATTTTATCACTGTGCTATTTGTAAATCAAGAAATCAGAGAAAGTCTAACAATAGGATATTAGCTAAATATCCTATGGTAAATCACATTCAAGACTAAGTATAATTATTATAAATGATTATGTGGATCAAAGGTAACCTGGATGCCCACTAGAGCCAGGTATAACATCATGAATAAAGAGGCTCTCTGACTAACTGGACAGCATATGTCCTTTTGGAGAGACATCTCCAGCTAAATAATGCCAAGCAAGAGGAGAGGGTGGAAGAGAAAGAAACGGAGAGAGACAGACAGAGACAGAGGAGAGGAAGGGAAATATCTTGAGTTATGAAAATATCCAAGATGTTTAATTAAAAATTGAATTTAACATGAAATGTCTTGAGTTTTCCAAAACTGTATTTCTTATACATTTTTGAAAAAAAAAAACCAATGACCAAATAAAATAGATCAGTTGTGAAGTAGATTCAGTTCAAAAACTAGATGTTTCAATCTACAGATATATTTATTGACATAGAAGATATTATAGCATTTTGTTAAAGTTTTGAAAATCTTGTTATAAAACATATTGTGTAATATGGTGTCAGTTTTGTTAAAAGTGACATGTACCCTTACATAAAAGCTCCAAAGAATGTCTGAGGGCATATAAACCAAAATGTTAATATGTGGTTTTATTTTTAGTTTTCAGAGGAGAGATGGCATAGCTTTTTGCATTTGTAGTTATAAAGAAAAGGGTTAGTAGTCTAGTTTAAAATTTTGAGAGTAAATTTAAAATCAAAATCATTCAATAAATACTCCTGTACAAAATATCAGACAGATTTGGATTAAAACTTGGTTTTTCTATTTATTACCTCAGTAACATTGGACTTTCTCACCTGTAAAATATCAGTGATTATATTTATCAACTCTTTTGATGGTATAATAAAATCAATACATAAAATGGAATTAATAACTAATATACTACTTTCTTTTTTATATTTTATTTATTATTTTTTGCATGTGTTGCTTGCATGTAGGTAAGTACACCGTGTCATGCAATGCCTGCGGAGGTCAGAAGAGGCTGTCAAATCCCCTGGAACTGGAGTTACAGACAGTTGTTAGCTGCCATGTGGGTGCTGGGATTCAAACCCAGATCTTCTGCAAGGTCAGTGTTCTTAACCGCTAAGCCATCTCTGCAGCCCCCTAACATACTACTTTCTTAGCATTACCAAAAGCTAAGTGCACAGAAGGGCTTTCTCTATGGTGATTCAAACCTGAAAAAAGACAGGTATTGGTGGAATGTAAAACATGTGGTGTAAGCATACTAAACAAAATGCTTTTTTATCTGTTTTGGCTTGTCTATCCAGAGGCACACCTATCACAGACACATTCTCATTGCAACTCTTAAGTGCCTTTCTGAACAATATCTCACTTCCTGTCTAGCAGAGATGCCCTTCGGGATGGATAGAAAGGTGATAACGATTGCCCAAGGAGTATCAGATGAGGCAGAATCTATAGTACATTCTCTAGATGGTAGGGGTGGATCCGAAGGATGAACGGAGCGGTGGGACAAATGGAACAAACTAAGGGCACTACTTCTGAAGACAAATAGTCTCTATCTTTTCCTGCTGCCCATCCTTATCACCTGTAAGGCACAGACTGATCCAACTGGAATCCAAGGAGCTGAGGAAGTCACCAGCTGACTGACACAGTTGGCTTGTGCTTGTCCGCAGCGTTTCTTTCTCAGCACATGGTGTCATGGTGCTCCTTTTCTTCATCAGTCCTTTCACCAGCACGTTAAATTGATAGAGGGTAAAGAAATTCTTTCAGGCAATTATAATCTCATTGGAAATTTGCCTTAAATTAAATCTGGTCACCTCTTCTCAATGTGCCTGATTTTCAACTCAGTATTTTCATCATATCTGGTCCATGGAAATAGCATACCCTGTAAAAATTTTTACGTAACAAAAGAATTTTCTTTTTCAATAAATTCACAGGAAAAGAGAACCAGAAATGTATTTTTTATATCTTTACTCTTTCAACAATATGCAACATGAACATAATAGTGTTAAGAAGTCAGAAATAACATAGTAGCTATAGAAGACATATATATTTGCAAAATTTCAACAATTATCTTCTCTAGGCTCCCCAAATTAGCATATTTGTTAACCAAATTAATTAAGAAGCTTTTCAAAATAAAAGCAATGTTTTGAATAAATATATTCTTTCATAACCATAGAACATTTAGTTCTGTTGGAGGTAATGAAGGAACATTACATTTAAGTATTTTCTGAAGACATTAGGGTAAAAATTATCTACAATTATAAATGTACCCTAATTGCTCATTTGTTTCCTTTTGGTGACTTATGTGTTAAAATTATACTATACATGCTTTCTAATCAATTAGTTCTTAATCATTATAAAGTTGTCATCTGACCTACAGAACTTACATCAGCTCAACATGATATGACATTATTTGAACGATGTCTTTAAATTTAAATTTAGTGTTCTATATTGAATCCAATTCAAGCCAAGACTTTCAGGTGTCCACTTCTGTTATGAGAGAGTGAATCCCAGACTCCCACTTCAGAAACATGAGGCAAGCCCTGAAAATCCTGAAATCCCATAACTAAATGTTCTTGTCACATCAAAAACCCTAGCTACAACTGAGTTTTCGGTACGCTTCGGGTACACCTCCCGGCAGTTATAAATTCACTGTGGTCAGCTTTTCTACTGAAATCAATTGTTTAGTAAACAATTACAGAAAATGTCCTAATATTTGATTTTAAAAACTTTACTAACTGAAGAAATGAATTTGTTGATCTTTCCAGAATTGACTTTTAAAAATCTTTTATTCACTTTCATTTCTACTGTAATTCTTAGAAGTTTTAAAATCTATATTTAACCTATCACAACACCTACACTTTGATAAATTTGGCTTTCTTCAATAATAAGCTGTGCTAAGATCTCTAAATTAAATGACAAAGGCAAAGAAATAACACTAACCACAGCAACAGGTTACAGTAAGTGCTCATTAAAATATAAGATTAACAACTGTCCTCAAATGATCATAAAAAATAGAATAACTTACTAAACCAGTAATGCAACATAGAATAGATCTTAACAGAAACTCTCTTTCTCTGTCTCTCTCTCTCTCTTACACATACACACACGCACAGGCATTCATACATAGGTATAGACTCACATCTTAGAGTTTAAAACACTGCTACTAAAGGTTTTAACTTAGATAAATTAACTACAAGGAAATACTGACATTGTGAAAATATCTGTCTATGACCAACGCCCCAGAAAAGGGATGATGTGAACATGTAAAAAATGTTAAGGAAAAAACAAGGATGAGGAACCGAGTCTTTGACAAGGAAGGCGGCGTGTTGACACCACCCAGGTCACAGCTTCCCGTTCTCCTCACTGCTTTCCTTCTCCTCTATTGCTTCCAGGCTGCGTTTGCTCTTGGTCTCAGCACCACTGCTAGGGACTTTACTCAGCCCACAAGATAAACAGGCCAGCTGAATCTGCTTCATGTTCTCTAGAGCTTCGTTCTTGGCACTCTTCAACAGGTCTCCTTGTCCCTATAAACAGGTAGAAACAGATAGCAAAGAAGGTTATGGGCCAAGCTCAAGTCAGGTGACATTGCTGTGTATTCTGTTACTGATGAATGAAGAAATAGACTCAGATCCACGAGCTCGCTTTTCCAGGGTTAAGTCCAACATTCTCTACTAGCATTATTGAGACTTTGCGCTTCAAGCCTGGAACCTCAAACCTAGATTTCCCAACTGACCATGTGGTTGTTGGCTGTCTCTTGGGGTTACTGTTGAGGGAGCCTCCTCTGGATACACTGAAGACACTTGAACCTTCCATGCATGGTCTGTGACTTTGCACACTGTTGCAATTCCTACCTATTCAGGCCAACATTTCTAAGCTTAGCAGAAAAGGAGGAAAGATGCTTTTCCTTAAAGAACTTAAAGTTAGATCAGCAGGGCAGAGTAAAGAGCGCAAAGCAGAGCATCTCCTGTGATGAAATCATAGCCCTTCTGCATATGGAGCTTGTTTTTATATATTGAGTTACTATTGCAGTCTGCCTGTTGATGTATTATTAACTATCCGCATTCTTTCTGTGCTTTCCAGCATCCTGAGGACAATGTTCCTACCTGCTTAATTAACATCTCCAGGGGCTTAACAGTTCCAACAAAACAAACAGTGCAAGAGGACTACAGGAATATGTTGGCTGTCATTTGCATCAGTGTCTGTTACAGTGATCAAGTGTCTACATGAATTCTGGCCCAGGGGATGAAGGACTGCAGACGTGTGCAACTGGGAAAATATTTCTATAGTGCACGTACAAAAGAGGAAGTAGCTTCCCTCTCTCCTCCCAGTCTTATAGCAGTGCCTGAGAGTGATGTTAAGACTCTGAGGAAGGATACAGGAGAATGCAGGAGCTGTGTGCCTGCTGGAGCATTTTCCTACAAGGCTATCCTCAGAGAGGCAGCAGCACACCCATTTAGGCAAAATATTCCTTGTGAAATGCTGCATCTCTTTATCTTTTTTCTTAAGGTGTGTATAGCAGTACATGCTAAAAATACTTTAAAATTTTAATTCCTCAAGATTTATAAAAGCACCTGGAACATATATCCTGTGCAATGATAGCTAAGTACTTCTCACTACAACCCTCTGTGGTTTGGGGTGGGTGGCGGGGGTTTGCCTAAAGTCTGTGCTAAAATGAACTTCACGTCAGTTACCTCACTCATCAAATGGAATTTTAGAAGTACACTTGGAGGTTGTATGGGTAAAGCCTTCTTTGAGAAGAAATGAAGCTGAGTCTGATGAGTTTACATGGTTGGTGCGAGCCCACAGCCAACTAAGGACAGAGATAGCCTAAAGTCTTGATCTTTCCCCACAGACCCAGTACTCTTCTCATAGCATGCAGACAGTCTTCTTTAAGACATTAACTAAAGACTGCAGGCTGAGGCCTGTCACTTAGAGATACATTTTCTCAGGAAAAGAATATTCACAACATCACCAGAATTGGGAAAGTCTCTTCTTTTTTAAGATTTATTTATTATTTTTATTTATGTCTATGTGTGCATGCCTGCATCAGTCTGTGTACACTACATGCATGAAAGTGGCCTCAGAGGCCAGAGGGCATGAGATCCCTGGGATCTGGAGTTACAAGTGGTTCTCAGCAGAAAGTCTCTTCTTAACAGCATGGAAACTGATGGAGACTCCTCTGGACACTGAAAAGTGAAGTCACATCTAACTTGTAAAATGCAATTCTTACAAACAAAATAATAGTAACACAAAAATGAAGTTATTTTCAAAACAATAATTTATTTTTCTTTATGTGTTTGAGTGTTTGCCTGTATCTATGTCTATGTACCACGTTTATGTCTGTTGACCATGGAGGCCTGAAGTGGGTGTTGGACACCCTTGAACTGGTGTTACAGATGTTGTGAACTGCCATGTGGGTGATGGGAACTGAACTTGGGTCATCTGAAAGAGCAGCCAGTGCTCTTTACCACTGAGCCAGATCTCCAGTCCCTAAAACGCAATTCCTAAATAAAGCTACTAGAACACATAAAGGGCCTACTCTGTGCAGGTACTCTTCCTGCTTTATTCAGTTTTCACAATGATATAGGTATTTTTACTAATCTCAGTTTACCAATGATAAAACCAAGGCCCAGGGTGACCAGAGTCGCAGAGCTGCTCAGTGGTGGATTTGAAGCTGGCTCAAGGGTCTGTGGTCTTTACCACTTCAAGAAAGGCCTCTTTCAAAGGCAAATCATACTTTCTTCAAAGCACAAGGAAGGCACCCATTCATTGTTACCAATGGCAACAACACAGATAGAAAGAAAATCATTGCCCACATGGCAATGGCTGACAGAACTTAGAGATGAGATGTGAGGCTAGGAAAACAGGACGAACTGAAAATATACTGGCATGGACAAAAGTCAGAGCATCTTCCATCAATTGCAAAATAGACAATTTTCCCTTCTGCAAAGAGTATCAGAATACCTTTTGGCCTACCTCACAGTTCTAAAAGTAAAGAAAACATGTTGAAGAGCTGTTTACAATATAAGTAAACTATTAAATGACTTGGAAAGCAGTTAATCTCTTCTACTAGTATCATAAATATCTTGTATCTGTATATTTTAATAGTTGATTTGCTTATTTAAGTGCATCTTCAAGAGTCTATTATAGGGATGTGTATATTGCTAGCATTTTTTAAATGGAAGGATTCCTTTAAAAATAAGCTATATTAATAAGACTACTTACAACTATTAACAGACTTTGACTTGTAAATCTTTACAGATAATTTTTAAATTATCATCAAACATTCAAAAACCAAATTGACATCTTCTGTGGTTATAAAAAAATAACAACAAAACACACAAAAATATCAATCTTGATGGTATGGTTGCTAATGCACTCACGTGCTTTTTCCCTCAGGACACTATGAAGGGGATTTAATCAGCCCAGTGTTACCTCTTCAATACTGAGAGGTGGCATCCAAGCCTAAATGCCAGACTGTGACTGTTCTGATAAATAGAACTCATTCTCTCTTGAAAACAATGGCCAATTGGAAAAAAAAACAGTTTGTACCAGTACACAAGAACACAACTACATCATCTCCTGATAACCCGGGTGACAACACACACTGGCAGCACAATACTGGCAGACGAGAACAAAAAGAAAAAGAAACTACTAACTATACATTGAAAGGCTGGGTTTTCATTATTTTAAGAAGCTAGGATTCTTGAAGGGTGTGGCCCCTGGTAGGCTGACCACTCTCCAGTGGATAGCCCCACACCCAAGAGTATATTGGCAGCACAAATTGGACTAGATGAGTCACAAAAAATACAAAAAGAGGATGCAAAGTTGTGGGGGTAGATCTGGGAGAAGCAGTAGGATGGAGATGGAAATACCTTGTATGAAAGTCTCAAAGAACTAATAAAAAGAATAGGGGGGGAAAGAAGCTAAGATTAGAGCCTCTGTTCTGTAGGACAAAAAACCAGACTATCTCTCCCCTTTAGGTCCCAATTAAGGCATCAGAATCAGAAAAGATTCATTCTACACATTGTATAGAGGATGAAGTGGGTTACGAAGGACTCCCATCCTAGCATCCCTCCCCATTTTATTTCCCCCAGTCATCTACTCTGTCTCAAACACTAGCCAGGGCAGACCAGCTCTCCTCCCTTCAACTTCTCTGTCCTGGTAGTTCTCCTTCAAGTTGTGTCAGGTACAGGATTCGTGTGTAGTGCATATTTAAGGCACATTCCAGTAAGGCATTCTATCCTCCTCAGAGGTCTTGGAGGAAGAGGAGAGAGAAGCCCAAAGGATTGCATTTTGCTTAATGTTGTATAAATTGAAACACTTCTTGTACACTAAAATGAATCTGGGATTGTTGTGGCATAGAATACAAAATTAATACACAATTTGACCATAAAACAACTCAACTTGAAAGAATTGTCAAACAGAAGCCAACACTAAAAACCCTGTAGGAATTCACAGCTATTCTCTGGTACTAGGGATACTTTTGGGAGGGAGGTGAACACTATTTTAACCCAAAGAAAAGTAAGAATAACACAGAACATCTCAGGTATACTAATGCCAAGAGGACACAAAGAGTCCGAGGAGGCATGCCACCACTTGTTTTCCATGGCTATTTGGTTTCTGAAAGTTACATGGCAATTCCAACATATTCAGAAAGCAACAGTTGGAGCCATGGAAAAATCACAGTAACTTATGATAAGAAGTCAAGTCTAAAAACTAATGATGATTAATGCATATTTATTTTAATTTATCTGTTTTAATTATAATTATTTACTTGTATGAGTGTTTTACCTACATATATGTAAGTGCATCATGTGCGCAATGCCCATGGAGGCCAGAGTAAGGGGTCAGATCCACAGGAATCAGAGGTATGGATGGCTGTTAGCTGCTATGTGGGTGTTAGAAACCAAACCTGGGACCTCTGCAAAAGCAGCCAGTGCTCTTAATTGATGAACCATCTCTCTAGCCATGATTCATGCATATTTAAAAAATAAATGTTAAGTATTCCTTGTCAAATCTCTTTAATTCATTAATTGCAATTAAGGTACATTACCTGGAAATCAAGAAACACCCATCAGAACTGAGAGTAAATGGCTTCTTGCTAAATTCCACCCACCAATGTTTTGATTAGTTCTAATATATTCTCTTATGATGACCTACTGCTAGTTCTTATACTAATATCTCATAAAGCTAGGATTTAAAAACTAAATACTATGACAACTTTAAACAGTGGCTAACATGGATTGAAAACTGAGTATACTAAGCATGAATCGATGTGCTCACTTTATCTCACCACATCTATGAAGAATCCTGGGATTCTAAATATAAATCATCAACTAGTTCTATGTTTTACAATCTATCAGAAGGTGTTTAGGATTTTTGTTATTCCTGCTTTTACCAAGAAATGCAGTTCCCTTCCAATGTATGAAAATAGTTTTGGCTGCAATCTGGCAGAGTAACTCACAAAAGACATCTGTGATTCCTTCACACCCACTTTTCCCATGAACTGCATTATCCTTTG